CTCGAACTCACAGAGATCCGCCTGCCTCTGCCTCCCGAGTGCTGGGATTAAAGGTGTGCGCCACCATCGTCCGGCTGTAAAGAGTTTTGAACAAGGAAGATGCCACTCTTTTGAGTATTTGCTTTTTTAAAATTATTTTATCACTTTTAAAAAATATTTATTTATTTATTATGTATACAATATTCTGTCTGTATGCCTGCAGGCCAGAAGAGGGTACCAGACTCCATTAAAGATGGTTGTGAGCCACCATGTGGTTGCTGGGAATTGAACTCTGGAAGAGCAGGCAATGGTCTTAACCTCTGAGCCATCTCTCCAGCCCATTAGTATTTACTTTTTAACTCTCTGCTGAGAACAGTAAACTACCAAGATTAAAAATTGCTCCATAGTAATTGATTATAGGCATAGTTCTATAAGATCAAGATATGGCACAGGTATTTAAACTCATATGGCTGAATAGGATTTCAAAGGATTATCCCCTTTCTCTTGGCCAACTATGTCCTGCTTAAGTTTTCAGCCTAAAACTCCCATCGGAATCCAGGATCCGATCTGCATCCAGGTCTGCAGCCAGCAAATTTTCCAAGCCAGTATCCAGTTCTTTGCCATGAGCTTTTGTTTTATTAAGAAATAGGACTGGAGGAGTCCTAGACTCTGCTTAGATGAATTTCAGAAAGAGTAAGCTGCCTGGAGTAAATTCTTGAGGACTGTGAGGTCTTTAGAAAGCACTGTTTTCAAAGGGAAGGGAACTGAGATAGCTTTTTGTTTGGTAGATTACAGTATGTTAGCTTTTGAAGCCCTCTCAGTAGCTTTACTACTTTAATCAACCTCAACTCTCTACAGTTTTTGAAGAGATCCTAGCCAGCTTGAGCATGGCAAACATGGCTCTGCAGGCCTTGCCCTTCCACCATTCCTTCTCCCTTACCAAATACTGTTAAGATTACATTCCTAAAGTAGACACCAAGGTCCATTCCTTTATTTGGCTGCTTCATCCTTCTGAGACTGACCATCAAGGTCCAGCTATCAAAGTATTGAAGTCCATCAAACAAAAGCCACCTTTGGCTCACCTAAATAACATGCTCAATTAAAACTAAACACCTCATCCTAACACAGGGTTTCCCTTTTTACCTTTATAAACTGCCATTTTCCTATGGGACATGTGTGTCTCCTCTCTATACTGAGGTAGTCCTTTGTCCCTTCTCCCTCTCCCTTGTTCCGTCCCGTTCTCCCTTGTCCTCTCTCACCTGTCTTTGTCTCTTGTTCCCTGCCCTTTGTCCCTCTAGGGAAAATCTCCTTTGTGCTGAGAACTTGGTCTTGGAATGTCGAGAGCTGACTTTGAGGTCCCCTACAATCTTCTTATGCAAAACTATAGAAGACTTCTAGCGGAGAGTCAAGTTTCCTTGATGATTGTTATACTGACCAGCCAGTAAGCAGCTTCCTGTTTGGCCTTGGTGTCAGCTCCCGGCTCCAGGTTCCTGCCTTGTCTGAGTTCCTGTCCTGAATTCCTTTGATGATGAACTATGATGTGAAAGCATAAGTTGAATAAACCCTTTCCTTCCCAAGTAGCTATGGTTATGGTGTTCCATCACAATGGAGTAACCCTAACTAAGATGCTGGTATTTAACTCGGGCTGCTCTTAGAGGAATGAAGAGCAAATTGCTTACTGACTGTAATTGGGTTTGTTGAGACTTGAACATGGGTGGTAAAGTATGGGACTGTGAACATCTCTGTAAAGAGTTAGTCAGGTAGGCTCTTAAGGCAAAATAGGTATTATTGATTATTTTTATTATATAATTATTAGTAGTATTCAGTTGTAAGAGGGCAGAGACAATTCTGAAGATATCGTAAACTTGGTATTTGAACTTCACATTCAATATAATCTGGAGTGTTTCAAATCTAAATTTAGGGATTGATTTAATTGTATAATTTTGACACAAAGTTGAATTAATCGTCATTAAAAAACTCAAGAAAGATGAGAACTCCAGGACAGTGTCTTGGGAAAACTCTACTTTATTGCTACTACTTCTGCTTTCCTTTTCTTTTACTTTTTATAAAAAGGAAACCTGATTTTTATTTTATCGACAGCCATTCTTAAACATGAACATGCATATATAATATTCTATGCACATATCACAATTTTTTTAATATTAGTTAATAAATGTTAAACACACAATATACATCCTTACCAAAAAAAGTCAAAATGTCAACTTAAAGCTTTAAAACAAAAATATTAGTACTTTTTTTTAAAAATGTTGTGTTGGGTACCATTTGTACAGCACAATTAACTAAAACAATTCATTTGGATGGACATGAAAAAATAGCAGTAGGAAATAAATTCATGAGGGTTTTATATCAGAATAGGCAGTTTTGCCATTCAGGAGAGGCAATATTAAATACTACTTTAAAAATTCACATTTTCAAATGTTTAGTTCTAGTCACAGAACTTTCCTTAGTAGAGACCTCAATGCAATGCATAATTAGCTACCTTAGAAGGACTGTTTTGAAAAGACAAAAATCCCTTTTGAATTATAACTTTACTGATTTTGGCACAGAAAAGAAGTCTTAAGAACAAGGACACGAGTAAAAAGTGGGAAGAGGAACAGAAAAGAAAGAAACCAAGCATGAGGAGATTTAATGGCAATCACTAGACTGTATTCTCAGTCACTGAAGAACACTGCTCCATCTGCACAGGCGATCACTAGACTGTATTCTCAGTCACTGAAGAACACTG